TCCAATCTCATATTGACTTGCTGAAGGAGGAGAGTGCTACCGACCGTGCCACACTTAAGTCACAAGTCGATACGTTGACCAAGGATAACTCCCAGCTTCAGAGTGAGAAGCTCCGATTCGAGTCACAAGTGCGACGTGAGCAGGACAGGTATGCTCGTCTCGAGGGTAGCATCAAGCTGCTCCAATCAGAGAAGGACTCCCTCCAGGAGCGCTACAACAAGGTCCAGGCGACCATGGCCCAGCAGGATGATAGGCTTGTCAAGGCTACTCAAAATGCGGCCGAGGCTGAAGCCCGTCTCCAGAGCCTACAGGGTGAGATGGTTCAGCTCAAGGCATCCCAGCAGATGTCTGCAACAATCGAAGCGCGCCTCAAGGAGAGGAACCAAGAATTGGTTACCGAACGTGACCGCCTGAGCAACATGGTTTCCTCGATTCAAAGTTTGCGTAATGAAGCTGAATTGGCCACTGCCGAAAGCCGACGCGAACTTCAAAACACAGTCGACAAGCTTCGAGCTGACCTGCAGACTACCGAACGCAAACTGGAGGATGAGATTGCGGAGCACAAAAAGGTTATCCAAATGCGGGACTACGAGCGCACCGAAGCACAGCGAAGGATTGACGATCTTATCGCCGCTCGCAACAGTGCTGAGCTCAAGTCTGCGACTGCCGACTCGACTCGTCAACAACTCGAGCAGCGTGTCAAGGATCTCCAAAACCAACTTCAACTGGCTGAAGAGCGTGTACAGGCTCTCCAACCACGATCTGCTTCGCAGACCAACGGCTCAAACGAAGAGGAATCAGTCAATCGTGAAGAAGAGCTTACTGCAGAAGTTGCAGAACTCAAACGCAAGATTGAACGCAAGGAGGAAGACCTGGAAGCTGTCACTGCTCAAATTGCCGGTTTCCAGGAGATTGCACAAGATGCAGAAAACCGACTGCAGAACTTTGTAGAGGCCCATGAGAAACTCCAAGAGCAGATCAACTTGGCACAGCAGGAGAAGGATGCTATCATTAGCGATTTGCAGCAGCGCGTTGAAGATATCTCTTCTGAGCTTGCCACTAGCAGCACCGAGCTTACGCAACTCCGAGGACAGCACGAGCAGGATACTTTGGTACTCCGACAAGAGAAGGAAGCACTCGAGTCAGAGATCACAAGACTCAAGAACGATGTTGCCGATTACAAGGCTGAGGCTGAAAACCAGATGCAGTATGTCAAGACACAGGCCGATATCGCCGAGCGCGCCCAAAAGGACTACGAGCACGAATTCCAGAAGCACGCTGAAAGCATGGAGAGACTACGTGAACTACGGGAACAGCACAACCAACTACAGACCGAGATTACGGAGTTCAAGACTCAAGCTGAAGCGGCACGTACGACATTGGAGCAGAGCCAAGAGCACTGGAAGTCGACGGAAGCGCGATATGAAGAGCAGATTGCAGAAGCCAAACGTCGTCACGACGACCTGAAGCAGTACAACCAAACATTGCTCAAGCAGTTCGACGAATATAAGGAGCAGATCAACAGCTTGAAGAACGAACGTGGTGCTGTGGCAGCAGCCGGCGATGTGGGCACTACCGAATCAGGCTCAAGCAATCTTCAGGATATCGAAACCTATCTCCGCCGCGAGAAGGAGATTCTAGAAGTACAACTGAACCTCAAGGTCCAGGAATCGAAGCGACTGGAGCAACAACTGACCCACGCCCAAACTCAACTCGACCAGACTCGGGAAAAGCTGCTGGAAGAACAAGCCAAGGCTTCTGGTTCACAGAGCAACTCCAGTCTCGCCCACCTTAACAAAAACCTTGAGGAGCTCAATGTCTACCGCGAAAGCAACGCGACGCTGCGAAGCGAGAATACTCGTTTGCAGAATTCGTTTGCTGAAAAGGCTAAGGCATTGGAGGCTCTTCAAAGTGAGCTTGAACCACTGCAGGTTCGTGTTTCCGAACTCGAAGGAGAGCTCGAGCTCAAGGCCGGTCACCTCAAGGCTGTTGAAGAAGATCGTGATCGTTGGCAGAAGCGCCACCAGGACGTACTCCAACGATACGACCGCATCGATCCCAAGGAACTTGAGGATCTCAAGAAACAGATCGAGGACCACAAAGCTGAGCGTGATCAGGCATTGCAGCAAGCCTCTGGACTTAACGAGCAGATTACCGATCTCACTGCTAAACTAGAGAAGGCAGTGAGTGAAAAGGACGCCGAAGTCAAGTTCGCAAGGGACAGGTTCCAGAAGATCCATAACGAGCGCATGGGCAAGAAGAACGAGGAGATGAAGGCTATTGCTGCCGAGCGAGACGAAGCTCAGAAGTCAGTTGAGAACTTGAAGCAAGAACTTGAGACTCTCAAGCAACAGCTCGCCAGTGCACAGACAGCAGGTACGGATGCTGGTCAAGCGCAAGAGCGGATAGCAACACTGGAGAAAGAGCTGGAGCAAGCACGCGCGCAACTCGGAGCTGTCCAGCAAGAGCTCGAGGCAGTCAAGGCAGCTCGCGACGAAGCCATCGCTCAAGCAAACGCATCCTTACAGTCAATTGGAAACGCAGATGCAGGCGAAGAAGGCCAGGTCAGTGAAGGGGATTCTACCGCTTTGGCACAACAAATCTCGACACTGCAAAAGCAACTCGAGGAAGCTCAACACAAGGCTGCCGAAGCTGAGAGCAGCCGATCTGCTGCCACTGACCAGTTGTCTCACCTGCAAGCCCAATTGTCAGCCCAGATCGACAGCCTTGAGAGGCTCCAGAAGGAAACCGTGAGTTGCCCTGATTTATATAGCAAAGACCCAATACTGACGTTTCTACAGGCTGAGAAGAGCACAACCATTGATGAGCTTCGCCAGCAGTTCTCGCAAGCACAAGCACAAGCTCAACCTCAAGACCCACAAACTGCACCAACTACAGTACCAGCTGAGCCTAGTGATGATTCCGCTTCGCGTGCGGAGATCGAAAAACTTAAGGAAGAGCTTGCCGCGAAGGTGCAAGAGATTGATGATCTCAAGGCACAGCTCGCTACCGCGCAATCCAACGAGCGTTCTTCTGCGGCTAATGCCAATGCGGAAACTTCTCAAGATAGCGACGAGATTGCTGCAATCAAGGCCTCGCTTGACCAGCGTGAAGCCCAACTTAAGGAACTTGAGGCCTCACTCAATGGTCGTGAAGGCGTCATTGCTAAGAAGGAGGGTAACCTCGAGAATCTGAGGAAGAAGGCCAACGAGCGCGTCTCAGCAATCAGAGCAGAGACTGACGCAGAGCTTGCCAGATTGAAGGGCGCTCATGAGGCCGAACTCGAACGACTTCAGCAAGAGAAACAGATGGCCACTCCTAAGGAGACTGCCGAGGCATCAACAGAGCCTTTGCCTGAAGGCATGATTCATACAGAGGATCTCCCAAGACCCAGAGTGACGGACAGCCAGCTTGCTCAATGGTTCAGAACTAACACTGGGGCACTCAGAGTTGTCAAGGCGCAAATTCAAAACAACCTCAAAAAGGCAACGACTTCTAGAGACGAGACGATTGCTAAACTGCGTCAAGAGATTGAACAAATCAACACGCAAAAGGCTATCGACGGCATCACAGGTGTGAAGCAGGAGCCAGAGCAGGCGAAGCAAGCTGCCTCGAGCGAAGATGTCAACGCAATCAACGCTGCCTGGGAAGAGAAGCTCAAGGTGAAGCTGCAGGAGAAGGAGACAAGCATGAACAAGACGTACGAGATGAAGTCGAGAGTCAAAGACTCGCAGCTCATGCTCGTACGAGCCAGGTTCAGCTACGTCGAGACGGCTGCAAAGGAAACACCAACCGAGGAGGTTGCAAAGGTTTATGCGATTGCAATGACCCAAAAGCCCAAGCCTGACAACAAGGCTGGCGCACAACCAGCTACTCCTGCGAAGCCAAACCTCACACAAGCTCAGCTTCCAAACCAGGCACCAAATTCATCAACGCCATCACAGGCCGGTGCGACGCCGGTGCAGCAACAGCAGGCAGCACCGTCGGTGAATAACACTCCTCAAGCCAATGGGGCTGACAACAACTCTGGATTTCAAGTACCTCACCAATCGAACCCATTCCTTCAGTCTGTCGGCCAAGGTAACGCTACCAACCCGTTCATGCAAGGCGCAAACCAAATGGGTCGGGGTCTGCCTCAACCAGGCTTTGTAGCACAAAATCAAGGTCAACAGCAACAGGGTCGCGGTCGTGGTGATGGCGTGGGAACCGGTCCACAAGCCATCCGCGGTGCCCTTCAATCGAACATTCCCCGTGGTGGCGGCACAGGCATCCCGCTACCTGGCGGCCGTGGACGAGGCCAGCAGATGAACCAACAGCAGCCGCAAACCCAACTCCCAACCCAAGCTGCAGGTGCAGGTGCTTCACAGATTGGTCGTGGTGGCGGTCGAGGCGGTGGTCGTGGCCGCGGCAATGCCGGCCAGCAGAACCAGAATCAAGCCTCACCAGGCCGAGGACTCAACCCCGGAGCTGCTGGCTTCCAACCTGCTGGTCAGGCTGCCCAGGCCGGCCGTGGCCAGAAGCGGAATGCAGAAGATGATAGCGAGGGCGCTACACGTGGTGGAAAGAGAGCGCGAGGTGGACGTGGTGGAGCTGGCGGTGGAGCACCAGCTGCTGCAGAGTAGAGTAGCATCATTTGCTGCCTTATCAAGTGTACGTATATGAAGATTTAATGGGGGCGTAGGACGTACGACGCATCAACTGTCGTTTTCTTTTCCTTTTGTTTCACTGATTGTCATTTCTTCGTCCTTCATCTTCAGGACAGTTAATGCTTTTGTCCATTTGCAGAGTAGCAAGGAAAGAAATGTGTATGTATACGGGGTATTTCCCGAATGAGAAAGAAGACGGGGGTTTCTAAAATGAAAGCATAGCATAGTTGCAATGTCGTATGTGTATTACTATATGGTTAGCATATTTAACGGGCGTATACAAGGACATGTTTGATTCATATAATCATATCGCTCTATCTATATAGCCAAGTGGTGTGTACACAACGACAAAACTTAATAAACAACCTGTCCCTTCTTCAACGTCGTAACGCTATCCTCGGTGCCAAACCCGGCCCTATTCATGCCCTTGGCCGCAACCTCATCCTCTGGCTCTAGGACCCCAAACCGCAGCCTCGCCTTAAGAATCTTCTCGCCCATGGGTGTAGCCCCCAGCGAATGACCCCGTGTAAGCCGATCGAGATACCTACTCCGTGTGGCCGCCATAACCGCCGAAAAAGAATTATCGTGACACACGCCATTCACCCACAGGGCTCTGAGCCCCAGGAGCACCGCGGCAAACGAACACGCAATCGCAGTCCCATACGCGACCCACAGATTCCGCGGTGTATACTCATACACACTGTAAAAATTAAAATACCGAACCGGCACCTCTGCCTTCTTCGCCTCGTCCGTTTCCCATAGTCTCTCATTACTGAAGAGACTGAGCGTCTGGTTCCGCGAGAGCTCTTCGATTATAGCCGCGAGAGTGGTATTCTTACGCTGCGACATCCAGGCTTCCTGTGGCACGGTATTGCGTAGCTCGGGGAAGTTCTGCTGGAGAAGCTCGAGAAGCGCGGTGTCGGGTATCATTGATCTGCCAGAAAAGTAACCGCCGGCTGCGCCGCCTCCGGTGAAGACACCGAAGAAGCCGTTGAGGATGGTGGAGAGGGCTTTAAACATTAGGCCCGTTACTTCTGTATTCAGCGGTTCTTTGAATTCGTGCGAGACGTAGGTGACAGGTTGAGTGTCTTGCCCCCCAAAATCACCAAACAGCACGGTGAAGTTTGTATTGTGTGTGGTGCAGGTTATAGTTTCGTTGCCCATTTGCATGAAGAAAGTAGGAATGTTCGAGTTGGCGCCGCAGTCTCCAAATCTTTCACGTGCGATGCATTTGGTTACGTAGGTAGTTACGTTATCGGAGCTCGAGAGCGGGGGGCCTGTGGTGTCGGCAGAAAAGGATAGGTAGCGCATGTCAGCATCGAGGGAGCTGTATTGGCTGGCTAAATCGAGGATTTGGCGGATAGCTTCTTTGCGGACGGTAGTGAAGTTCTGGAGATGGTCACCTGTTGCGGGGGTACATTTTAGGGATGGGGCGTCGAAGGAGTAGTCGTAGGTTGCGTTGATGGGGAGGGTGCGGCGCATAGGAAGGATTTGCATGCTTGTGGCCATGGCGATGGTCAAGCGGTGGAGTAGGGGTGAAGTGCCTTCACCAATACCATCACTTCTGTACAGTGTGGTGCCGTTGAGGTTGAGGGTTGGGACTTTTGTGAATCGCTCGCTGACAAGCTGAGCGCCAGCTACAGTGAGAGTGGAAGGCGGAATGAGAGCAGCGAGGGGTAGACACCTATTCGATATGTTGATATTACGCTTCTGAGTATACGAGTTGGAGTACTTACCATGCAATCAATGCCATGAGTGCTGGAATCTTTGCTCTGGTCCAGAAGGAAGGGTGAAGAAAAGATAAAAGATCGTGAGTAGCTGCAAAAACCGCATCAATCGTAGACACTGAATTGGCCTTGTGCCGGAGGTTGATCCACATGTGCTGCTTGTATGCTACGATAATCGCACCCGCTAGTAGTGTCTTTGTGACAAACGCAAATGCCGTTCCGTACCGGATGATCCAGACTTGGGAGGTGTAGTCTTCATCTATTCCTCGCACAGGACTACTGTCGAAGCGCAAGTAGAAAAGATGGTGGCCGATTGCCACTGCTACTCCGGAAATGAAGAGGGCAACCATCGAGATCGGCGTGTAGGGAGATATCTTCCATTCTACAAGCTGCACTGTACCTCCATTGCTCTGGTGGTCGCTGGTAAACGGAACGACTTGTGCCACGGAAGTCGGTTTATTCATGTGAGGATGCGAGTCATCTTCCTCGCTGATACTTCCCCGTGTAGGTGGATGTCCATAGCCCTGATGGTGTCCAGATGGTGTTTCGGATGGAACGTCTTCGAAAGAGAAACGGCTATCGGAATTCCTTCTGGGAACCGCAGTGTACGAGGTAGCGTTCTGTGAGGCCATTGTCGGCTTTTACGCGAAACCGGACAACGGAAGGCGCGAGGGGCAGGTGCGGAGTGAGAAATCAGGGCACCCTGCCGTTATGTACTGCTAGATGTATTTTAAATAGATAATGGCACAAGCCACCAAACTGGCTCTTCTTGAGCGGTTACGCTACATGTTTGAGATCGGTGACTAGCCAATCAGACATCTTCGGACGGAAACAAGGCGCCAGCACACTGGAGTGGAGGCCTAACGATCATCGGGGGCCAAAATAAGACGCAACACAATGCTATCTTTCGAGTGACAGCGGTGGGTTGGGATAGATGGAACACATATCGTTCTTCTCCTTTTTCAGTGTTAGTGCCAGCTAAGGAGAGGCTGCGTGGATTGTATGAAAGAGGGGAAGGTCACGTAAAGCAATCTTTCGTAAGATCTAATCGTGAGCTTAGCTCTTATCCACGTGACCTTAGTGATGAAGTGAGCACAACCCCAATACACACCCATAACTCTTCTCTACCTCATCGCTAGAAAATATCGCGTTTTTCTATCATAGGATTCCGTCTTTATATGCACAGAGATATTCAATCTTTAGACATGACCGTCAATGTGTGACATGATGCAGAGCAGTCACCCTTATAGATGTGTTTGTCATCTTACCACATAAATAGGAGAATGAGATTCGTGGAACCATCGCGAGAACGGGACTAACGGGCCAAAACAATTCCGTTTTGGATTAACCATAATATACCAAGTGACATACTATAACTCTCTGCGAAGACCGAAATAATGTACCAATTGACAACTCACTAATTGGTTGTACTTGATTACGTTGTTAACATGTGCATGAATCGCTAAAATATGGCTCAAGGCATCACGAGCTGCATTTCGTACAGCCATATTAGCAACCGATTCCTTCATTCTTGCCGCATCAATTATTAGAACCAATCATTGTTGTCGAGACAGGCAGCTATCAAGTTCGAATGAGCAAACATCTTTACAAGATCTCTTATACCGCTCGCAGCTTCAACTCCATGTTACGATCGGTCCCCAGAGGGATTTTGGTGCACGAAGAAGTGCGATATAATCGGCTCTTAGAAGACTTAAGAAGCAAACAGGCCCCAATAAGCGTAAGGATTCTGTCTCCTCTTTGTCACCGTTTTGAGTTTAGAGCTTCGATAGAGAAGGGCTAGCTGTTTCTGGCACCGTTTCCCAAACGGAGCTCAGATTACTAGGTTTATTAGACGGAAGACGACGGCGAACCGGCCCTAGCCGCGCACCCGCGCTCATACGTCAGGATTCTTCGAAACTTTATTCTGGAGACTTAGCTTGGAGAAAGACACCTTATTCTCATGAGATGTAAACATGGTAAAGCCTATCTTGTCGTTTCTGTCTGTCGAGTATTAGCTAGCAAAGGCGAAGAAGGGTTGTAAAGAATTTCGCGCAACTAATATCTGAGCACATTCTTGGAAATGTTCATATACTCGTTGCTTGTAGCACTTCCTGTACATACTTCGCCCCGCTCTACGGCAGCCTAAATCGTTGGTAGCGGTTCAACCGCAAGGATTCTAAGTTTTTCCCTCTGATTTCACTGGACGTACTGGCATTAGTAAGAACGAAAGTTTTACGGTAATTAAGAGTAAGAGCGGCATAAAATCACTCGCACCGGAAATTTCTCTAGGTAAAGCTGTTTGTGTGAGCCGTAGCGGAGTGTCAGCATCTGCTCCCGTGGCTACTGCACCCGCCTCTTAATACAATAGGCTCGGTGGAAAGAAAGAGAGGTAAGCCGGGAACTTTGTGTGCCGTAGATGACGGCATGTCTCGGCCGGAAGAAGTAAGCAGAGTAAGCACTTGACGAGGCGAGCGGGCCTTCCTGGCGGCTCCGTGGACGCTGCCGCACTCCAGCAGGTAGGACTGATAGACTGTAGGTAAACTGCTTATCAAAAATCGCATTCACCAGTGTGGTCATATTGTGATGTTCTATGATAATCATGGTTTTCAGTCGGTCGTGGCATCGTGGCAATACGCACTTCCTAGATTTCATCTAAGTGCCTCGTTCATAAAGTTTATCGTATTGACATTAATTTCCACGAATTAGAATACAATATGCTCACTACAATCTTAGAAGGCTTATATGGAAGTATGATTACGTGCACTGTACTTGTTTGGTCCAAAATCATCGCCTTCAAGGTTAGGGGGTGCTCCGAACACGAGGTGACGTAGACAACATAATTACCGCTGGCGGGGGCCATCGTAGGCACTGTAGGATGCAACGTTAGATCTTCCGTCTGTTCCATTTCGTACAGTTCCCCACTTCCCCGGATTTTCATGCATCCGATCATTCGAGACTGGATACACAAACAATAAATCCATGATAGTCTTGTTTTATCTAACCGCAATCACTGTGGATATGTCGTTATTAAGCTCTCCATCTAATCTCTGTCGTTTGTAGTGGTGTTCCTTTTTTTTAAGAGAACGAGGTCTCAGACTATGGAGTGCTAACTTCTTCTCAAATCTATCATGTATACTTGATCTTCCGAATCACAAGAAATACGCGTACGCATTACACTACTGTTTCGCATAAGCTCCGGTGCGTGAGCTGTTCACCAATGAATTTCACATCACTGGTCATATAGGGACTCGAAATTCAATTGAGTTTATTACTTTCATGATCTTCCATGAGTGGGGGGAGTTAGCCTATGACAGTCTTGTTGAGACCCACTTATCCAATCTCGAACGGGTTTTCATCCCAATACTTCGATGATACTACTGATTATGTACCAGGATAGCCGAGCATAATCATCATGCCACTTTTCTCGTCGTCGAATAACCCCTCTCTGACACAGATCATTAGTTTGGAAATTACTAATGAATAACCAACGCTCTACGCTATATAAACTGGTCCAGTGCTTGCCTTCTACCCTATTCCATATCATCTGCTCTGACATCTATCCGCTCACAATCAAACCCAACCAACCACAACAAAACTCCACAATGAAGTACTTCATCATTCTTCTTGCTGCTGTTGCCACAGCATCTGCTGTCGCAGTTCCTGAAGCTCAACCTAAGAGTCTCGACAAGCGGGCCTGCTATACTGCGGTAAGCAAGTTCAAAAATGTTGTTCTTCTACAAAGACTCGGACTGACCTTTCATCTTCAATAGTTTGGAGCTTGCCGAACTGCTTGCCCAAACGCTGCTTGTGCCAGAGGTGGTACCAACACGGCACCAGAGTTCTGCTGCTAAAAATAGAGCTGAACTCCTATTTGCGTAGCTAGCAACATAATTCTGAATAAATGTCGGTAGCACTCATTCCACCATTTCTAGTCTAGGGACAATTCTTCTCTGGGAAGATGGACATGGCACTCGCTAGCTTCCAAATACTACTAGAAAAGAAAATCGACTTTATTTGCTAGCCCTTTCAACAGCTCAACATGAACCTTCCTTCTTAAAGTGACTTGCGCAGATTAAAGAACAACGTACATGGCAAGCGAGAGCAGCTTACTCTTCGAAATAAACCATCTAACCACTTAAAACTATCATGCTTCAAGTACCTCCGAACAAAAGCAGATGTTTCAGCCTACTATCCCAAAATCCCACTCTTACATAACAAGGTCCTCTCTACCTCGAGACCAACTAATCAGAATGCGAAGAAAAATAAAGAGTATCCGACAAAGTACTGCTTTCCCCCCTTGAGCTAGAGAAGCCACAGTAACGTTTATAAAGTAAATGATGACATATAAACTTATGTAGCTCCGCAAGAGTTCATCTTGAAGATAGGGGAGGTGACGATCAGCTATACGACATACTCAGTTCAATCTCCCCAGATCCATATATCCAGGTACAACACCACCAAACGGAAAAAGTAAATCATCACATAACGCAACCATCATTTAGCAAGAGAAAGAAACATTTCCAAACTACGTTCGACATCAAACCCCTCCCCCCCCAACATCAAACAACGCTCTAGTTAAACCAAAAACTCACACTAAAACTTGGCGTAAGACTCCTCACATAATGCCACCACCCCACAGGAAGATACAAGCACTCGCCCGGCCCCAGTATCCCCTCTACAAACACCGCATCTTGAAATCCGGGAAAACGTTGTCGGAACTTTTTCTTTTTCTCTTCATCATCCAGCGCGACCCCCATCACAGGCTTCTCAAACCAAGATAACCTGGGAAAAACCTCCATCGCCTCATCCAGATCAATCTCACTCGTATTACTCATATCCACCCCACACTCATCCACGCTCCTCGGGTACAGACGCTGCGTTTCGCTCGGAGCGTAGAGGCGTACGTACTTGTATCCTACGACCTGCGCGAGGATATTGTGGTAAGGGTCTGTGTGTAAAGGAGATACGGTACCGGCGGGTCCAAACCAAGCGTTTAGCAGGGGTTCTTCTAGTTTAGGCACGGGCTTGATGTGGGTGAGGTGGGGGGATGGGGCGGGGTCGGTGTAGCAGTAGTCTGGGATGGTGATGTCGAGGCGTAAGGAGGGGATTTGGGCGAAGAGGTCGTGTTGGGCGAGGTAGCCGACTGAGTTTGCGGTTGAGTCTTGTGGTGGATGGAGGGGGTTGTTTGGATTGTGGAGCATGTAGGTTTCCATGAATTCACGGAAGGTAATGATGCGTTGACCCCAGCCTTCGGCGGTGTAGCTTTTTCCTACCTCGACTGGGATTAGTCTTCTTCCACCGAGAGTCTGTCTCAGAAGATAGTCTGGATTCGCCCATGGTCGCTCGCTGAGTGCAGGCCAATGTTGTATTGCATCCTTGATTATGCACGGTGTGTGGGTTTCCGTCGAGCCAACTTTCCTTTGAAAAGCTTCCAGACTGAGTTCTTTCGTTCGTTGCAAAGGATGTGACAGGACTGGTTCCGGATTGGGAAGCTCTACAGGAAACCTTTCTGGGATTGGCGAGGATTGACAGGACAAGGATAGCTTTTGTCGCTTTGAGGGGCGTTCCGAGCTTATGCCGTTGGTTGGGTACACCCGATCCAAATCAGCTCTCAATGCTGCAAACCATAGTTCCACCAGCTCTTCTCTGGAAGGTGCACCAGCAAGTATGAGGGCCATATCTAACGATTTCACAACCTCATCAATCCAGTCGCTCTCTGTCGTGCCTTGTCGCTGTTCCTCTGTTCTGCCATCTACCCGCTTTAGCACCTTCCATAGAGTCGCGTCTGTATACAATCTCCGCCAACAAGTCTTCACTTCTTTGTAAGGAACATCGTGCAGTTTCTGATACGCAAGCTTCAAGCCGAGCTCAGGATCCTCGGGAAGAAGTGCGAGTGCAGCACGTCCACATTCGCGGATGGGGTCAGACTTTTGCGGGGTAACAAGTTCCTGACGGGTTAGTTGGATTATCTCTTGGAGTGTAGGTGCATCATTGTTCATTTCTGATGAAGCGCAGCACAGTTGTAGACGACAACGGTGTAAGTGAGTGATTGTGGAAAGCTTGTATTGCTAGTGGCACGAGCTCAGGCCATTTACTACTTTTTCCGTGCCGTTGACGAGCCAAGACATGGCCAAAGTACCCGAACGCTACTCGGGCGTTAAAGTTTATTAGGCGGCGTTTAGAGTTGAACCCTGGCTTCGGTAATCGTCGTGGATTTCGCGCCTTAGCGCAGACCCATGTCGTGTCACGTTAAGTATAGCATGCTGCAGGTATGGAGACCAAAGTGCCGAAGATGCATATTAGATCCATTTATAGGCCAGTGGGCTGCCAGCTCGATGCAACTCGCAGCGGTGACTATGTAATACGATTATTGTACACGAGCCTTGTGACTCCCCTCCAAACCGAGACTCCCACTCGTAGTCCATTCCTGACACACGAGGTAGCGCCTGTGAAGCCGTCATAACCCATCAATCGTAGACCCATAAACACCAGTCCGAGTAAGAGGGATATCGAACATGTGGAAAAAAAAAGAAACCTTCAAGCAGTCATGGAAACAATAAAGCAATGTGCAGGCTATGCAAATGAAAAGGCCGCTGAGGCCGGGGTATCAAACAAGAGGAACATTAAGGATAAGAGAAATGGAGGTTATCACCCAAGCAATCCACCAGCATCCTGCAACGCAGGCGCATCACGGCTCTGATTTGTAGTGGTACGCTGAAGGGAGGTAGCAGAGGGTGCGGATGAAAGCAAGCCTCCAGGATCTTGTAGAGAAGGCACATCATAACTCGTTCGTGTTGAGCGTGTCGATGTGCGGTGTATAGGCGCGTACCGAGGAGCGACTGAAGGGCTGGGATTTGAAGTTGGAGTGGACAGGGATTCTTCCTGCTCACGGTGTCTAGGCAGCAGACCACCCAGGTCCTGCAGCTGTTGGTTCGGCCGGCACGACATTTCGAGGTCCTCGGAATGCTGAGAGAGCCGGGAGTTTCGTCGACCTTGTGGAAGAAACGCTCGCCCGGCCGACATGATTGAGTTTGAAGCTCGGGAGCCTCTTCTGGGTTGCGTCGCGAAATCGTGAGCAACCACAGAGTCTGTGGGTGAAGGGGTTGCTCCTGGTTGTTCCAGTAGACCGCCCACATCAAACCACGATACCCGTCTGCCGCCGCGGGGACTGGGCATTGGGTCTCGGATGTCATCAACCCCCGAGTGCGAGCGGTCGTCACCATGTGATACACTACCCTCTTCGTCTGGAAATTTCCAGTTGGTGTTTGCAAAAGGGCCAGACTGCCTTGAAGACTGCAAGAGGTCAAGGTTCGCCACTGGAGCCGGTCTGGGTACGCTTGGCGTTTTTTCCAAGAGCTCGGGCTTGGTCCTATAACCCAGTGATCGTGCAAGGTCTTCATCGCTGCTGCGGGGCTGGTCTGTGAAGCGACGCGATGACCCTCTACGCTCGGTGCTGTCAGTAGTCGAGGGCGCCTTGAATTTTGGTTTCTTGACACCTCGATCGCGAAGGAATGATCCTAGGATGATTGCGTTGGATACGATGGCTGCAGCCAGGATTTCAGAAGAGGCAAACACAGTACGGAATTGCTGAAGGCCCTTCTTCTCAATGACTAGAGGCATGCGAGCCCCGGTGACGATGATGAGACCAAGCGATAGAGAGAACAGTGCCACTAGTGAGATCTTGCGCTTCAAAGGCATGCCTGAGCGAACGATAATAGGAATCGGAAAGGCAATCAGGAGAATATCGGTGACGATATCAGCAATGCCCATAGTGAGGAGCTGGGCGTAACCCTGACGACACTGCGGACCCGGATCGGGAATGACTTGCCAGTAGTGAGTGATTGGACGACACTCAGTAAAGGTAGCAATTAGAACCATGAAAAAGGTAACGACGAGGAATATGCGAATACCGCGCAGTCCCCATTCGTATCCCTTTTTCCAGAAGCGCTCTGTCAAGCGCTTGAGGAACTCTGAAACAGTGAACTTGGCCAACCAGATGCTATAGAGGCATTAGTTATGCTATGGATGAAAAGGTTGGCGATACGTACAATAGCGCGTAGAAGATCCTGGCTGCAAGGACCATGCGCGAGCCAATTTCTCGATGATGAATTCGAACTGGGTCTGTCAAGTTGGTAATATCGACATTGTTTGTGCCGTAGATCAAGACAACGTGCACAAAGCCCATGCGCGCAAAGAGGGGAAAGATGCTGAGCGCCATGACCTTGTCTTCGCGGAACAGGCGTTCATTGCGAATGTAGCGGCCGGACAAGCGGACGCCTATGATGACAGCGGAGAAAATGGTGCACCACCAGCTATACAAGAGCGTGGGATTGTTGGTCAGGCGAGTCCGGGGCTCTGGGGCAGAAGGGCTGTACAAATTGCGCGGTATTATCATGATGCTGTGGAGCAGTCCTCACAGACTCTCGCCTCCGCAGAGGGGGGAGCTGTTTGGAGGTCGCGTGCTCAGTATCGATTGTGGGCGAGAGCGATGGCGGTGACGGATGCGGGAGTGTGGGCTGAAGGCGCATTGACCATTTCGGTATTGGGGTGATGTTGGTGGAGTACCGAGGTCCCGGGAGCGCGGAGCGGGTATGTTGCGAGTGAGTGAGTGAGTGCCAGGCCAAAGGCGGTGGTTGGGCAATGCTGAAGACGTAGACGATGGGCAGCAGAATGGCAGACGAGGATGAAGAGGAAGGAGAGGCAGCAGCAGCAACAGCAGCAGGGCGGCAGGTGACGGGGCTGAGGGTCGGAGGTGTGCGTGATAACCCAAGCAGGCGCAGTGCAAGTGAGTGGGTCGTTATCGCAACGGCAGAACTTGGCCAGGATTCGGAGGCACGCCACAAAATCACTACAGCCCGCGTCTGTGGTTGAAAGCGCGCACACTGCCTGATGCCGTGCGGTGCCAATGTTCCCCCACCGAGTTTGGATCCAGATCCCGGCGAGTGCTGATAGGCATGGGTTTGGCGTGTCGGGGATCAGTGGGATGGCATGCGAGGCGAGAGGCTGGGAGCGGGTTGGGACGTGTTGGTGCAGTCAACGGCCGTCTTGTCTCGTGTCGTGTCCGGGTTTTGTCGTGTGGTCGAGTTGCCCCGAAGTCAAGGGCCGTGGTGTCGGTCGTTTATATCACATCACCCCGGAGGCCACCTGCATGGTGCTAAGTACTGCTACAGCTACTGGGTACGACGAGGGCGCCATGGCGCTTGTAGGCTCCGTCTGCAGACAATGCAGATGGACGACTGGGGCAGGCTGACGTGGAGGCGGGGGGTCAAACACGCCTCCGACCTGGAGGCAGCGGGCGGTGACGGGTTGGGGGCTCGATGGAGTATTGGCTCTCAGGCGCGGCCGCAGCGCCAATTGGGGTAGAGGACATAGTCGCAGCAACCTACATTGGCGGCACAGAGGCTTGGGAGAGAGCTGGACCACGACAAGATCCGAGGGCCGGGATCGGGGTGTGCCGGGCGGTTGGATGGCTGATGGGGGGGGGGAGCGTGAGTGTGCGCATTATCGCATCAGCAAGTCGTGTTGTCATTGCGGGTTGGCTATGGCTACGCGTGGCGCATCTGCGCAGAGAAGCCGGGAGGGTGATGGCGACGGCGACGGCGGTGGCTGCGGCGAAGGCGCTTGTGCTTGTTGCGTGAGGCCCCTCTCGTCTCGTTTACCCCCCCACCCCACCTCCATCGCTGGGCAGTCGCGTGGGAGGGAAGGGCTGGCCTGTGCGCCTGCCTGATGCGACGATGAATGAGACCCTGACGGACCAACTGAACTCTCCTCCTGCCCCGGCGCGGGCCTTCTGTCGGCTGTAATAATCGCCCGAGCCAGGGAAAGAGAGGAATAAAGTACTACCGACGATGGAATAGATAAACTTGATGAACCGCGATCGGAGCCCCGGGCACCGAATCTCGCTGTCTGTCGTTGACGAGCTCTTGGGGTGCCTGAGAACCCCGCGCGAGTTGGCAGTGCTGACGGTTCAGGGTGACTTCCCCCTGAGTGTGAGTGTTGTTGTGCCTCTCTATCCGCACCTTCCTTTCACAGACGATTGCGATTGCTGCCATTGCCGTCGACGTATCAGCGCCCACACCGGCAGCCGTCGTGGCAAGGCGGGGGTCTGCTGTCGGATGAGGAATAACTTGCCCAAAATCCCTCAACCCGTCTGGTATTAGTGCATGAACATAGCTTACACAGTGCTAAGTATACATACTACATACATATAGTACATTCATGTGTACATGTACTATGTATACATAAGCACCGGACATGCAAAGCAGGTGACAGGCGAGATGGTGATCTACGCAGGGGGACGTGCACCTCGTGCCTGGTGGACGAAACCACGGGCAGGCACAATCCACGCGTACCTGCCAAATCACGCCCAAGCATCAAAATCAACCCAAATACACAATAGTACACATACAAACACCCAACGTATCTCGTCCAAGACCAGGCGTGCAGCAAAATCTATTTCAACAGCGTCATGTGTGCACAATATGCCATGGCGTCATGTGAAGACATAGCCGTACTGCTAAGCGCGTTGGGCCCGTCTTTCACATGTGAAACCGCCCATGCTTGGGGCTGGCACGTGAGCACCTTCCGTCACTCGCCCACAAGCAAATAGCAGCAAGCACTGCAAATGCGACTGCAGACAGCGCGTGCGGCTGGCACTTTGCAATGGCAATGACGAATGGTCTGCAGAATGAAACCTGTAGCTGCTCGAGGTACGTCGTCCAGGCCCGCGGAAACAAATCACAGCAGGCCCAGCAAGTTCCATGTGGAGCCATATGACGTTGGAGTGAACGCCCACCAAACTGTGCACACGACAGTCTCAGAACAAAACCAACCCAGCTCCTCCGCGATCTCTCCTTTTCTCCTCAGACCCCCTTTCGACCTTTTTCCTCCCCTCTGAAATTAATACCTGCCTGAAACTGCAAATATCCCCCCCAAGCAATGTCCGGAGAAGCCCCACGTGTGGAACTCAACAGCACAGATCTCGATTTCGACCTTACCGCACCCGTCAACCAGAAGCTGTCCCAGATGAACTCTGACGCTGCCCCGCTGCCCAACGGCAACGCAGACCACAGCCTGCCCAACGGCGCGGTCCAGACAAACGGCTCTCTCCTAGATTGTAGGGTGAGTGGCACAGAATGACCTCGACCATTTGCCGAGACGCAAGCTAACGCCATACATCACAGTCTTATCTGCGGCCCGCACCACACCCGAATTCCTAACCTGACACACACACAGCTGCCTCAAACGCCATCAACGCCGCAAACAACCACTCCAGCGTGCAGAACATTAAAAACACCGTCATGAACGGTAAGGTATGTACACTTGCCCCGCACTTTCCGCTTTTCACAACCAGCTCACGTCCCATGCAGTTTCCGAAGGTGCCCGCACGCACACGACCAGTAGCTAAATTCCGCAGGACCCGTTGCACAGAACGTCAAGGCAGAGGGCGCAAAGACCCGCGATGAGTTCGCGGATCTTGCAAACTCAAAGACCATTCCCGACGAGAAGACGGCGACTGGTCAGAACCTAACTCGTAAGTCTACGACGAGCTCTCACTGCAACTGCACAGCTAACCACGCTCAGACTACCACAGCATGTTCTACCGCCTCCTGAGCTGGAAGAATCCCCGCGCCACCGCCATCGCCTTTGCCAGTACCGTCGTCTTCATCTTCGCCTCACGCTACCTGAACCTGATCCGCTACATGTTCAAGACTTCGTACATGGTTCTTGGTGCTACTGCTACTGCCGAGATCGCGGGGCAGCTGACCATTGGACGTGGCCTCACCTCCCAGTTTAGGCCACGACAGTACTTCACCATTCCAAAGGCCTCGCTCGAGCGCATGACGGATGATTTCGAGCAGTTCATCAACTTCTTCGTCATCGAGTCTCAGCGTATTGTCTTCGCCGAGAACGTCTACGTCACTGTTGGCGTAAGTAGAGCTCTTGAACTGCCGCTGCACATGCAAGATGTTGTGACTGACTTGTCCCTACTAGGCCTTCTTCGCATTCCTCATCTCGTACTTCCTGATCAAGTGGGTTCCTCTCTGGGGTTTGGCTCTGATCGCGACGCACATTACCTACCTCGGTCCCCTCATCTACATCAAGAACAAGGACGTCATTGATGCTCAGTTGGAGAAGGGCTACACCATTGCCAACCAGCAGGCTCAGCAAGTCAAGGGTCTCGCCAACCAGCATGCTGAAAATGCCATGAAGACTGTCCAGGGCTACACACAACAGGCTACTGCTAAGGCTCAGGAGCGGGTCAACCAGTACCGTGGACGTTCCACTTCGCCAGAGGTCAAGAAGCAGCCCTTGCCCAGCGTCCCCAAGCACGAGCCCATTGCCGAGTCATCTTCTGAAGAGGAGGATGACGAGCCAGTTGCACAGGCTGCCAAGTAAGCTGTTCCATTGCGGCTATTGTACACTGAGTGTCTTGTACGTTGCGTGCTTACCCCGAAACTGTTTGCGCGTCCAACCTTTGAACATGCTACGACCACTCTCTCGCACGCACTCACAGTCTGGATGACTGCGGACGAAATACGGACGGTGCCAGTTTCGACATTTGAGAAGCCCGGAAATTGGAAACAACGCTAGCCACTGTACATGCCCTTTCTCAAGAACCTTTGTTTTTCGTGTTTCTAGTCTAGCGTGTCAAGTATTCCCTCTGCATTCACCAGCTTTTGTTTTCACGGCCTTGTTTCTTGTGGGTGGGGTTTGGGCATGATAATCATGGCAACATGGGAGTTTTAATCAAAATTGTCCTTTAGTGATTGTCGTGTGCCCAAAATGGTGTGAATTATGCGTGACGGCATTCGGACTTTTTGGTGGTGGTGGTGAATATGTGTCTGATGCCCCGCTTAATAGTCGTAATGCCTGAATGTAAGTATGAGAACGCATGTAGTGCTGACGTCTCAAACATAGCCTTGATGCAGACGCGCAATCTATGCCTGAGCAGAAGGTGTACCTGTCCTTTTACATGTTTTCCTCGAAGAATGCCCATGCAGCGTAGATCCGGGGAATGTATGCAGGCTTGTCTAGCACAATCCATAGTCTGTGCCAAGTTGTAGATATACCTGGATGGTATGTATGTACTTGGGTGGAGAGTGGTAGATCGGCGGCTAAGTGGAACCTGGCCAGTGCACAAGGCCACCGATTTGTTGCGTCAGTTTCAGCACAGCCACTTGGCTCGGGGCCACTTCGCCTCCTCCTTGTTACGCTGCCGCCTATTCCCAGCGCTGACCTTGAAGACCAACAACATCCCCCGCCCGTCAGCCGGTCGACCCATTCTCTCTTTTGTACCTGGTTTTCCTTCACCTACTCTGACTGTTTATTTCTGGACCAAGAACTGTTTGTTGTTTCTGGCATCTCAGCATAGTGAGCAGCCACCATGACTATGCTCGTTGAGCTCACTCGTCGCGCCGTCTCGCACCCGCAGACGGCGGCGTTTGTCAAGCGCGCTGTGGCTATCAAGCATGGCGACGGAGAGGAAGTCGAGCTTCCTACCTGGGGCATCGTAGTCGTCTACCTGACCGTCTTGGTTGGTAGCATTGCCTTCAGCCTCGTAAGTACTCCCCTGTTCAGCCTCGTACTGTTGAGGCCATGAATTAACAACATACTCCTAGGTATCCTACATGCTGAACCATGTCATCACGTCCCTCAGCATGGTTGAGTCCCCCATGGCCGCCATCACTGTAACGCCCTCCGCCCAGGAGCCCTCCGCCAAAGAAGGTGAGAAGGAGACACTCCTTGAAACCGGCCCCACGATCGCCCTCGTCAACCAGAAGCCCATCACCTCGTCCATCCGCGCCACGATCCGCCACCTGGTCGCCAACGCCGGCCGCTTCGCACGCTTCAGGGGATACAGAATCCACATTGTGTACTCGCTCCTTAACAGCCTCGTCTTTACCTTCTTCAACGGCGCCCTCGGTTTCTTCCCCGGCCAAGCCATCATCAGTGCCGCCCTCTCCGGCGCCATCCTCGCTCGCATCCACGCCGCTTGGACCCACAAGGTCGTCAGCATGCCCACCGAACAGTCGTTCTGCCAGCGCATCCCCAACAAGAGCCACTGGAAGACGCTGGCTCTCCCCGCTGCTGTTGCCTCCGCTATGCCGTACATCAGCATGTACCTCACCGTCGGTCTGGTCATGCTTCTCGGTTTTGATGACATGGAGCCCGTGACTACCTGTGCGCAGAAGATGGGCGTCATCGCGCGTGTCCTTGGTGTCGCCATCTTCGCCATCACTTGCACCCTTTTCCTCTGCCTCCCTGCTCTCGTCACCCGCGTTCGCATCGAAGCTTCCATTCTCCCTGACGACCAGGATACCATTGTCCCCTTTGACCGCACTTTCGGTGGCAAGGTTGTCAGCCAAATGATGGGTGGAACTGGTGTCGTGGGCTTCCTGGATGCCTGGAGGTCCTTTAACTGGGAGGCTCGTCGCCGTCTTATCAAGCTCTACACCAAGAACTTTTTCATCCTCGCCGGAATGATGGTTGTCTTTTTCCACGTTGTGGCCTTTGAGACTTTTGCTATCATGGGACCTGCCATTGGAAAGCTCATGGCGCAGATGAAGCATGATGGTATGAACGGTGGTGCGTAAAGGGTGGGAAGTGAACGAGAAATATTATTTTTGGTATCAGAATGCATATGTTTGGGACGGTGGTGTTAGGTTGGTGAGTTGTAGGATTACGGAGCCCTCATTTTTCGCACACCCCCTTTTTTTTCTTGTTCTTTTACGCACATGGATATTCAAGCAGAAAATATTAGATATTGGAAATAGCAATATACAGATGAATGAGATATTATCACATCAAGTCTCCTTTCACCGAGTATACTTTTTTTTCATCTGCTTTTATTGTTTTTTTTATAGTTTGTAAGAATATCTATTTCATCACCCTAGCCCCATCCATAACCCATATATCCCCCCTCCCCCCTCCCCCTTCAAGACCCGACGTGGAAAATTGAAAAGAAGATGAAGAAGAAAATTGAAGAGAAATAAACACACTTTGCCGTAGGAACTCGTAAGTTAACGCGCCAGCATGAGAAGAGTAAAACAGATGAAAAGAAGGAAAAGAAAAGAAAAAAAATTCTATGCAAACGCCGTACGCTATGCCCTCTGTTTGCACCCCCCAAAAAAATACGGGTTCTCGAAAAAAGATAAAAAAAAACATCAAGAAGCATGACAAGATGAAGAATAAGGGAGAGAGTTGGAAACGTATAATGAAGCATAACACGTAATGAATCTCTTCATTCCTTTTTCGCTTTTCCCTTTTCCCGTCATACTTTTTCTTCATTTTCCCTTTCTCAAAAGACGACTTCCGTTGTTCTCGTTTCTCTTTATGTGTCCCTGGTTCGACTTTTTTTTCCATCGCTCTCTCTCTCTTCACGTTGAAAAGAAAGGAAAGGGAGGGGGGGTACGCCAAAATGCTGTACAGAAGAAAAAATGTCTAGGATAAGAGTAAAGAGTTGAAAGTGGAGAATGCTTGCTCTTTTTCTTGCCTCAGGGTTTGGAAAAAAAGACGGAATTTTTGGTTCAAAGGGGGGGGGGTTGTTCCCTAATCCATGTTTCGTGCTTATTGATGCTTTCGGGGTCAACGCTAAAATGCGTTGGGGGCGAGTATGACTCGCCTGGAATGGGGAGTGGGGAAGAGTGTACCAAGTGCTGCTGTGCTTCCATTCAGCGTATGAGGATAAATTCCTGGATCCCAAGTCCACAGGTAATAATAGGTTTTGCTTGCTTCAAGCCTCATTCCCCCCCTCGTCAACCTATAGACACACTCTTCGCATGTTCATGCATCTTAACAACCTTTTGCACTTCGTCTTCGCCTTTAACAACTGCAACTCCCACATTGATACCTCGTGACTTCTCACTGGTACTATCCATGTTGAGAATGGCATTCGCCTCGGCAAGTCGCAGTCGTTCTTTTTCGGCTTCTAGTTCCAGATTCGCTTTGTCTTGTCCAGTCACCACTCCCTTGAGAATGACTTCGAGATCGGCTAGGCGGACGGGTTTGATGAGGAAAAGGTTGATGCCACTGGAGTTTGCTTCTTGTTGTATGTCGGTGTCTGCTACACCGGTAAGAGCAATGATGGTGACCTTGGGAAGATTGTGACGAATCTCATGAGCGCGGATTTGACGAGTTGCTTCGAGTCCGTCCATGACGGGCATATTGATATCCATAAGAACAACATCGATGCGGGACTCTTCTTCGTTATTAGCGGCTATGTAGGCTTCGAGTGCCTCTAGACCGTCGACTGCGAGAGTGTGTTCGTGGCCGAGTTTGTTGACAAAGGTGCGGAGGAGGCGAAGATTGATGGGATTGTCGTCGACGCAAAGACACCGTAGAGCCCGAGTTGGCTTCGCATATTTTGACGGCTTGATAGGACTGTTGTTGACCGACCGTATCTCCGGAGCACTGCTAGCGCTGGTGAGCTGTGGTCGACCTGGTTCTATGACGTGCAACAAATCAGTGCGTTTGGGAAGCGCGCCCTCCTTGAGCTGAAAGTCAGTGACCTGAGGCAGGGCTGGATCACTGTTGGTCTTTTGTATATTTGTTTGCTTGGCGTGACGGCCAAGACATGACGAGAGAGCCTTTGCCATCTTGTGCGGGCCTACTGGCTGACTGATGCATTCAAAAATCATGCCTGGGACTGTAATGGCTGTGGTTGATTGTGCAGCTGCGGCACCTTGGCACACAACAATGACTGGCGTCGCAGTTTTCTTGCTAGGACACTGGCTGTACTGAGTGCGCAGGGTCTTTGCACAGCTTTCAGTAGCAATAATCATATCCGGTTCCCCAGTGCTGACGCCTTGTTCGAAGCGTTTCATGCCGAACCAATCGGCACAGAGGCTAACCAATGCCTTCAAACACAACTTGGAAGCATTCTTGTTCTTCAGGTCCTTGACGAAGTACTCCTCTGCTTCATTGAAACCATCAAAGCGGACTGTCAATCCCTTTGTGCGCTTGGAAACTTCCTGCAAGTGCATGTCCTTTTCACACTCTGGGGCAGTGGCGCCAAAACTTGGAGACATGCGCGACTCTTTCAGAGGACACGTGACTGTGAATTTTGTACCACGATCCTTCTCACTTCGCACCTCGACATCTCCTCCAAGAGATTCTACAATTTGCTTGACAATTGAAAGACCCAAGCCGGTACCCTGGCTCAGAGGATTCTCCTGAGCAAAAGAGTGAAAGAGTCTGTTGTTGATGTAGTCCTCGGACATGCCAATGCCAGAGTCGGTGACCGAGAACTTGAACTCGCAAGTCTCATCCTCGTCTTGAAACTTCCGCTTGACCTCGAGCTTTACCTTGATGTAACCGCCAGGCGTATACTTGAGGCTGTTTCCAAACAAATTCATAATCACACGTCGCCACGCTCCAGGCTGGGTACGGAAGACATAGTTGTCGCTCTGATTGATGTCGAGAATGATGGAGATTGGCCGATTATTGACCTTGGATGCAGTGAGCTCATACGTCTGAGCCGATGTCTTTGCATATGTGTAACCAGCAAAGACACTCTCAACCACGTCCTCTGTCAGTATGCTCATATCAACATCATTGATAAGCGTCATGATATCATTGGTATGAGCTCTGCCAGGACTGATAATGTGCTTGGCACTCTGAGTGCGCTTCTT